GAACAGAACTGATAGCTCAGAAATAAATTCATACATCTATGGCCAATTGATTTTGACAAAGGTGGCAAGTACATTTAATAAAGATCAGTCTCCTCAACAAATAGTGCTGGGACAATTGAATTTCCACATGCAAATGAATAAAATTTGACCTCTATCTCACACCATATAAAAAATTATTTCAAAATGAATCAACAACCTATATATAATAGCTAAAACCATAAAACTCTCAAAATACAACATAGGGGTAAATCTTTATGACCTTGGATTTGACAACCGATCCTTAGATATGACACCAAAGCACAAGAAGCAAAAGAAAAAAATAGGTAAATCGAAGTTCGTCAAAACCAAAAACTTTTGTGCATCAAAGGACATTATCAAGAAAGTGAAAAGACAATAAAGAAAATATTTGTAAATCATGTTTGATAAGGATTTAGTAGCCAGAATATGTAAAGAACTCCTACAACTCCACAACAAAATGACAAACCACCCAATTTAAAAATGGGCAAAGACTCAAATAGACATTTATCCAAAGAAGGTATACAAATAGCCAGTAAACATATGGAAAGATGCTCAGTGTCATTAGTCATTAGGGGAATGAAAACTAAAACCACAATGAGATACCATTTCACACCTACTAGGATGGCTATAATAAAAAATGGAAAATAGGTGTTGATGCAGATGTGGAGAAATTGGAACTTTCATACACTGCTTGTGGCAAATGGTACAGCTGCTGTGGAAAATAGTTTGGCAGTTCCTCAAAATGCTAAACATGAAATTACCATATGAGTCAGCAATTCCACTTCTCAATGTGTATCCAAAAGAATTAAAAGCAGGAACTCAAACATATACTTTAATGTCAATGTTCACTGCAGCATTGTTCACAATAGCCAAAATGTGGAAATAATCCAAATGTTTATTAACAGATGAATAGAGAAACAAAATGTGGTGTATGTATACAATGAAATATTTTTCAGCTATAAGAAGGAATGAAGTTCTGATACATGCTACAACATAGATGAACCTTGAAAACATTACACTAAGTGAAAGAATCCAGACACAAATGACAAATATTATATGATTTTACTTGTATGAAATATCCAGAATAGGCAAATTCATAGGTACAAAAAGTAGATTAGAGGTCACCAGGGGCTGGAGGGAGGGGAGAATGGAAAGTAATTGCTTAAGGGTTACAGAGTTTCTATTTGGGGTGATAGAAAGGTTTGGAAATAGATAGTGGTGATGGTTGCACAACATCGTGAATGCAATTAGTGCCAATGAACATTGTTAAAAGTATATATATA